TTTTGGGCTGCTCTGGGTCTTGGTTGCTTTGCGCGAGCTTTTCTCTAGTTGTGGCAAGCGGGAGCTACTCTCTAGTTGTGGAACTTGGGCTTCTCATTGTAGTGGCTTCTCTTGTTGCGGAGCACGGGCTTTAAGGCACAGAGGCTTCAGTAGCTGTGACGCACGGGCTTAGCTGCTCCATGGCACGTGGGGTCTTCCTGGACCAGGGATCAAACCCATGTCCCCTGCATTGGCAGGCAGATTCTTATCCACCGTGCCACCAGGGAAGCCTTCACATGGCTCTCCGGCAGCTCCCAGGCTCTGAGCTCCTGGTGGCGGGCAGGGTCTGCCTGGGAGCCCAGGGGGGCCACCACCGCTGGGACCAGCTCCTGGCCGGGGCTGCACGGCCACCCCCTCTTCCCCCTCATCCTTCTCAGGGATGCATTTTCCCAGCACACCAACCGAGGAGGTCACCTCATCTTCATCACTCTCTTGGGAAGGAGATATTCTCACCCCCATTTGCAAGTGAGAAAACTGAGGTGCAGAATAAATATATTTTTCTTGAAATCAGTGAGTCAGAGGAACAGGGGCTCCCTCCACTCAAGCCTTCTGACCCGTGAGTGAGGACCCATCGGTGTTGAGGGAACAGTGGCTGGCGTCTGAAAGCCCGGTGGCGTGTGAACCCTGACATTTTCTTTCCGTATGACCAGAGCTGAGCTGCCTACAGCTCTTGGCACCAGCCCTCAGTGCTTGGCGCAGTCCTCAGCACGTGGACGAAACCCATGACCATCCCTCCAGAATAGTGCTTTCAGCTCGATCCACGGAGTCTGTAAAGCCTCCGAGTGTGGAGGTAGAACTCAGCATGTATGAAAAGATGCACATTTTCTGGGAAGAGAGCCCAGAGTCTTTATCAAAGGTGTCTGGAGCCCAGAAAGGTTTTACAGGTCTGGGAGCAAGGAGACCAGGATAATCCTGGCTGACAAGGAGAAGGAAAGAAAAAGAGAAGCTGGGTGCCCATTGTTGGTTGGGTGCTCATTGTTCATTGGTATCTCTGGGAAACAGACTCTGAGTCCAGCGTGCTGGATGTTGACTAGAGGATGCTTAGGGTCAACACGCATGGGGGGAGGGCAGGAGCATTTCGCAGGACAGGGAGAGAAGTCAATCTGTGACAGATGTCCACTAGGAGCCTGGGCTAATCCCATAGCAAGCTCTGCAGGGAGAATGACCTCATATCTAGACTGGATCACATGGCTGAACCATTATAACCACTGTTGGCCACTGGATGTAGACTGCTCTGAGGAAAACATGACTTTGGACCCAGGAGCTCACCGCAGCTCAGACAATCCCAGAAGGAGCTGGGGGAGCTGACAGCTGAAGGCAAGCTTCAACAGCAGCCCCCAGGGCTGGACAGGAAGTCAGTCCTTGAAGAAGGGTCTAGGGTTGTATCACCAAGCTTACCGCAATATCTCTGCCCTTGGGAAAGTGTGAGAGATTAAATGCTATCCATTCACCCATCCATTTATCCCTCCATTCATCCATCCACCCACCCATCCCTCCATCCCTCTATCCATTTAACATTTCTTAAACATGTCTTATAAGCCAGTCTAGGTGATAAGCACCTGTGATAAAAAGCTGTACGTGGCATTGTCTAGTGGAGGAGAGAGACACACCAGTGAATAATTTAGGCACAAAGTGGTCAGCTATAAAATAGAGGCAAGTGCCAAGAACCATTGGAGCACATTGGAGGGCGGATTCTTCCTGGAACAATGAGTGGGTCCTGAAAGAGTTGTCAAGACAAAGAAAGGATAAGGCATTTTAGGCAGGAGGAAATGATGGTACAGGCATGATGGTCTGAGGGGGTGCAGCAGATTTGAGGAAAGTTTCCAGGTGGCTCAGATGGTAAAGAATCTGCCTGCAATGCAGGAGACCTGGGTTTGATCCCTGGGTCAGGAAGATCCCCTGGAGAAGGTAATGGCTACCCACTCTAGTATTCTGGCCTGGAGAATCTCATGGACAGAGGAGCCTGGCAGGCTATAGTTCATAGGGTTTCAAAGAGTCAGACACGACTGAGCGACTAACACTCAGCAGACAGAGTGTCCAGGTCACTCCCGGAGATGAGTCTGGACAAGGAGATTCGGTGAAATCATGAACGCTTTTGAACTATATCCAGCAGTACCAGAAAGTCACTGCTGGGTTTTGAGCATCTGCACTTTAGGAAGTCAACTCTGGTAGCTGAGAAGATGGACAGCTGGGTGGTTGCTGGAACCTCAAGGAGTCCTAGATGTGCCAGGACCAGGCACGAGCAGTGGGCACCCAGAAGCCCTCTAAGCACAAGCCAGTGCCCCACATGAGTGACCCTTCCCTGATGTGATGCGGAACCTCAACACACAGATCATTCTGGTCTTCTGGGCGTGGAGTGTTCCTCTGAGCAGCTGCTTGATCCCCCAAGTTCTCAAAGACTTTCACATCCCATATTCAAATCCTATGATCTCCTGCATGGAAAAACCTCCATGGGTGGCCTCAGCCCCTGGATGCGTATGAGCCTAATGCGTCTTGAAAACCTGGGGTGAAGAAGTCTTGGTCATCAGCACCAAGGACAGTCCAGAGAAGAGATGGGTGAGACCAAATTCTGTCCCCTGGAGGCAGGTTGTGCTAGGGAGGAAAGGCTATTTCTATGTGACCCTGGGGCTTCCCTAGCATCTCAGTTGGTAAAGAATCCGCCTGCAATGCAGGAGGCCCTGGTTCGATTCCTGGGTGGGGAAGATCCCCTGGAGGAGGGCATGGCAACCCACTCCAGTATTCTTTGCCTGGAGAATCCCATGGATGGAGGAGCCTGGCGGACTACAGTCCTTGGGGTCGTAAAGAGTCTGACACGACTGAGTGACAAAGCACAGCACAGCACACGTGACCTTCGGGAAGAATGGGCCTGTTCTATCTCAAGGAAAGTTGAAGTTAGACTTTACAAAGAACTTCCTGGTGATACCAGTGGAAAAACCCAACACTTAGAGCCCATCCAACTATACAGCTTGATTGGTAGCCACAGGAAAAATGATGAAGAAAAGAATTATGCAGAGGCAAGGAGTCAGGCTCCTTGTTGCTAGGGCGGCCAATGAACTCATCTTCATCCGTGTTTGAGGGCGGTGGTGGGGTGCAGGGGAGGACTGGAGGACAGCTGGAGTTGAATGAAGGACTCTTCGCCCTTGGTTATTTTAGCACTAGGAGGCTTCAAAGTTAGGCGGAAGCAAAAAGAAGCAGTCCCTCTGGCACGATTTGGGGCACCTTACGTGGGACAAAGCCTTGGAAGAAATAAATCCCAAGGTTCCTTGGCCCTCCAACCAGAGTCAGCCCATCTCCCTGGGTGGGGGTGGGAGTGGGCGGAGACGAGACGAGAAGGATGGGCTAGATAACCTTAGGGTCCCTGTCCACCGCAGAGGCTGTGCCAGGGGTCTTAGGTTCTCTTCAATTCATCCTTCAACAAGTGTTTGCGGAGCCCTCATTGTTTGCTCAGCACCAACTGGGGAGAAAGGGATCAAATAGAATACAAGCCCCAGGCTGGAGCGCTCAGTCTGTGCCTGGGGCCGCGCGAACCCCTCAGTGTGCTGACTCTTTTCCACCTCCCAGGGACCCTGTAGGGCAGGTACCAGAGCCTCCCGTGTACTGATGGGGAAACCGGGGCTCAGAGAAAAAGCAACTTGACCAAAGCCACACGGGAGGGGGCTGTCCTGGAGCCCTCACCATGAGCCGAGATGCTCCTCTGTGATGCAGGCGGTGACCCTCTGGGGTTCTCGCAGATGGAGCCTGAAAGCTGGAACCACTGGGGAGGCTTCATGCTGGGGGGGCCTGGGGGAGGGGCAGAACTCAGAGGCTGGCCGGGGAGGGGAGCAGCCTGAGTGTCGTCTCGGGGAGGGGGGGGCATGCGGGCAGCGGCTGTGGCTCCTGTCCAGGGTTCCACCAGAGAGAGGGGTGCTGGGGAGGCGCAGGGACTTCATCTAGAAGCATCACTCCTCCCCCAGCCTCATCTCGGCCGTCTAAAAGACAGAGATGGTTCAGCGGGGGTCAGCTTCCTCTCAGCTACTTAAGCCACTGGCCAGAAAGCAGACCACTGATAACTATAGTAGTTAACACTCTGAGCAGGCAGCAGGAGCCAGACCCTGCCTTAAGGACTCTCTAGCTTACTTAAGCCTTCCAACATCCCAGGGAGGGAGGTTCCATTATTATTCCCATTTTATACCTGATGCGAAGAGCAGACTCATTGGGAAAGACCTCAATGCTGGGAAAGATGGAAGGCAAGGGAAGGGGACAACAGAGGGTAAGATGGTTGGATGGCATCACCGACTCAATGGACTTGTGTTTGAGTAAGCTCTGGGAGATAGTGGAGGACAGGGAAGCCTGGCAGGCTGCAGTCCATGGGGTCACAAAGAGTCGGACACGACTAAGCGACTAAACAGCAGCATTTTATAGATGGGGAAACAGGAAAAGTGAGGTTAAGTAACCTGATCAGGGCCCCACAGCTAATAAGACACAGGACCCAGGTCGCAAGCCGGGCAGTCTACCCCTAGGGTTTCTCTGGTGGCTCAGACAGTAAAGAATCTGCCTGCAATGCGGGAGACCTGGGTTCGATCCCTGGGTTGGGAAGATCCCTTGGAGGAGGGCATGGCAACCCACTCCAGTCTTCTTGCCTGGAGAATCCCCAAGGACAGAGGAGCCTGGCGAGTACGGTCTGTGGGTCACAAAGAGTCGGACATGACTGACCGACTAAGCACAACACAGCGCACATAATATGTCTAAGCAAGATCCCGAGCTCTTCTCTCGCCCCTCGGGGACCCTTCCCAAGCTCAGGCTCTCCTCCTGACCTGGAGTTCTTGCACACCAAGACAGCCCCACCCTAATGAAGACTGCAGGAGGCCCCCACCAGCCCCTCCAGAGGCCCATAGCTGCCCGAGGGCCCCTGCCCCCCTCCCCGCACCCACACGCACCCCGCCCCCCCGCCCCAACCGAGCACCGTTGCCTTTCGTTCACAGTGACGGCGCCTGCGCCCAGGCCGGTGGGGGCACGGAGGACTCCGTGGCGGCGGCGGCGGTGGCCGGCAGACCCAGTGCCCACGCCCCGAAGGCTCAAGCCCAGCAGCTGCAGGAGGAGGAGGAGCGGCCGGGGGCGGGGGGCGCCTCCCCGCGGGCCGGCCCCCACCGCGCGGCCTCCCCTGGCCGGCAGCAGCCTGCCCTGGCGACGGCGCTCTGCTCCCGCGCCCCTGCCGCCTCCGATTACGAAATCTCCCTTGACCTAAAGAATAAACAGGTACCCAGGGCCTCCGAGGCGGGCGGGAAGGGTGGTGAAGGGCCCTGACTTGGGCACTGTCCCGGGTCCCAGGGATGTCCCTGTCTGGGCTGCCTCTGCTGCAGGCCCACCTCTTGGCCGCTAGTTCTCCCAGCTGAAAGGGGTAACGGCCCCTCCCTACAGCCAGCTCTCCCTGCAACCAGCCTTACCAGTGTCAGGGGTCACCTGTGTAGCGCCAAGCCCACAGGCAGTGTGTCCAGGGCTCTGCCCCTCTTACCACTGCAGGAAGCCCAGCGGCCCACATACTTCCAGGCAGGCGAAGCCCCCACCCCCAGCCCTGCTCCAGAGAGATGCCCTGCCTACCTGCCCACCCAACAGGCAAGCCCCCTGCTCAGGCACACACAGGCTCAAATGAGTTTTGAAGACAGGGGTGTCCTCCAGGTAGACTAAAGATTCACAGGATTAGCCCAGATTGGGAGAGCCCAAGCGAAGGACCAGGGAGGCCTGGCGTGCTGCAGTTCGTGAGGTCGCAGAGTCAGACAGGACTTAGCGACCGAACAACGAAAGCCCCCCTGTTGGAGAACAAACTTCACTGAGGGGTACTGGGTCTCCATCTTCCATTCTGTGAAGCAGCAAGAGAAAAAGTCAGTCATGGGGTCCCCACTGACACCCCCCAAATGACAATGGAACAGTTGTTTTGGTGGAAAATTAAGAGACCTGAAAGGAGATGTGTGTGTGTGTGTGTGTGTGTGTGTGTGTGTGTGTGTGAACATGCTTAGACACAGACTTTATGACTTAGCATTGTTGAGGAACAGCATTGAGCCCGGAGCCACACGTGTGGGATTCAGTGTGTGTTCTTGCTCTAGTGACTTTGGGAAACACCAGTTAAGCACTCTGGGTGTTGGTTTCCTCATCAGCAAAACTGGGAATTATACCTTGAATCATCACTGACGTCCTTTCTAGCTCTAAAATGTGTGGGTTCTAGAGATCCATTCCTTAACCCGATGGACAGTTTTGGAAGCAAAGCTAGTAGAGAAGTCAGTAAGACTTGGGTTGAGCCCAGGTGAGCCCAGCCAGACTCATTCCTTCCTTTGAGCGTGGATGCCAAGCAGTTACCCTGGGTCAGGGGCCAGCTGCCCACGATGTACCACAGGGCTTTCGGTAAGGTATTTGACAAAGTCTCCTGTGATATCTATGTGGATGGGATAGGAAGTGGTTTAGTTGACAATATAGTCAGGTGGGTTGCTCTCAAATGGAATTATCAAAAAACACTGGTTTTTCTATCAGCACCAATTCCAAGGTGATTGAGTAGGGACTTCTTTGCTTCTGCCCTGTTCAACCATTCTGAAAAGGGACTGATGCAAAGCCGAAAGGGGACAGCTAATACCTTGATAACAGAATCCCAGATTAAAAAACAAAATCTAATTAGGACAGAAATGTGGTTAAATGGAAAATGTAAAGTGAAAGAGGGAAAAACCTCAAGTTCTGTTCTTAGCTTTGAAAATCCCACAGCACTATTATAAAACGAGCAGGCTTGGTCCTGGGCGAGAGGCCTTAGGGCTTGAGTTCACTACAAGCTCAAGATAAATCAACAGCCAGTGAAGCCGCTGCCAGAGAAGTGGCCAGAGGCCTTCACAGACGTATAGATAAAACCCCCAGTGAGAGGAGCCTGGTGTGCTGCAGTCCATGTGGTCGCTAAGAGTCAGACGTGACTGAGCAACTGAACAACCAGCAAAAAGGAGGCAGCTGCCCGGAGCCCCACACTGGGTACTGGTCAGGCTGTCTGGTTTTAGGGGCTTCTTTTAAGAGGCAACGGAGAAGGCAATGTCACCCCACTCCAGTACTCTTGCCTGGAAAATCCCATGGACGGAGGAGCCTGGTAGGCTGCAGTCCATGGGGTCGCGAAGAGTCAGACATGACTGAGCGACTTCACTTCCACTTTCACTTTAAGAGGCAACAAAGAGAACCCTGAGGTTCTGAGGTTCTTCTAAGAAAGAAAACAAATTGGCTGGGATCACATGATGGAAAAAGACATGGCAACCCACTCCAGTATTCTTGCCTGGAGAATCCGAAGGACAGAGGACCCGGGAGCTACAGTCCATAGGGTTACAGTCGCAAAGAGCTGGACATGACTGAAGTGACTTAGCACACACCCATTCACAGGGTCATATGGGGAAATTGTAGACATGAAGACAAGTTTTAAACATGGAAGAGCTGAATGTGAATTGGCTGGATCAGATTATTTTCTATCATTCCAGGTAAAAATAGTGGTACTTGTCTGGCAGTCCAGCCTTTAAGACTCCCTGCTTCCAATGCAGGGGGCACAGGTTTGATCCCCAGGGAACAGTGATCCCACATGCCGGGACCAAAAAATAAAAAGTTTTCTAAAAAATAAAAATAGTGGTACTAGTGCATTAAACTTATAGGAGAGGAAGGTTTTATTTTCTTTTTTATTGCCTTTTTTTTTCTTTTTTAGCTTAATTAACAATAAGAGCTGCTAAAAATGTAGCAGGTCCTGCTTCTGGGGTGGGGAATGTCCAAGCAGGGGCCGGGAGGCAGCCCATCTGGAGCGGCACGGTGTGACGGGGTGGTCAGCTGGCCAGATGAGAGCATCCTGTCAGTTCCCTGAGGACAGAGACCATCTCCTGTTCATCTGTGCACCCATCGCCCAGCATCCAGCAGAGGGTCTTGGACAGAGTAAGAGCTCATCGAGTGAATATTTTTTAAATAATTTTGATGAGCAAAGCAATGAGGAAGTGGGATACCCAAAAGAAAGAAACATGGTCCCTCCCTGCTCCCCGAAGAGATTACCATTCAATTGAAGGAGTGGCCTGTTAGTAACACCAAAAGAAACTCCTGCCTTGGCCTGGGCAGGGAATTAGTTTAATTCTCACTGACTAGGGGCTATGGAGAGTCATGCGGGGTTCTAACAGGCACCGTGGACCTTTTTCACGTGGGTGTAGTTCTAGTAGATGGGCTTGCGTGTCAGGAGGGCGGAAGTGGGGTAGGAAAGATGAGGGCTGGTAGGGGGCTGGTAGATGGGTCCTCCTGTCCTGGGGAATGGTCCTCTTCCCCTGGCCCAGGGAACCCTCCAGGCCAAGCACAGGCTAGAGGTGGGAGTGTTAGTCGCTCAGTTGTGTCTGGCTCTTTGCGACCCCATGGACTGTAGCCCGCCAGGTTCCTCTGTCCATGGGATTCTCCAGGCAAGAATACTGGCAAAAAGTGATCGAGGAGTTGGGGCAGGGTGACTGAAAACACGGCATATGTTTACAAAAGGTGGAACCCCACAGCTCTCTCTTCTGCAGGTGAACTGTGTGACCTTAGACAAATTCCTTCCCTTCTCTGGGCCTTGGTTGCCACCTATAGCCCTTTGCCTCAGTTGCTAGCATTTCTATGCCCTGCCCCCCACTCTTGCACTGGTCCACACTCACTCCTTCTGTTGCTTTAGGACTTACTTCCCTGCGCCTTCCTCCTCCACCGCAGCTCTCCCAAGGCTACGGCGGAGGCCCCTTCTCAGTGATCCCACAGCACTCAGGTACTCCCTGACATTGCCCTCCAGCCCTGGATCACCATTCCTGTTTACTTTACTTCTCCTTGAAGGCGGGGCAAAGATGTCCATCATTATATCCCTGGTGCTCAACACAGCACCTGGCGTTGAGAAGATGCTCAAAAGATGAAGAGAGGGAGGTAACAGCTCAGTGACCTGAGGGGATGGAGAGGGGCATGAAGTCTGGGTCAGGGCCTGACTCCATCTCAGGTTTTTTTGAGATCTGGGATTTAGTATTCTGCTCCTGTGATCCTCACGAGTCACTCACATCCTGTAGTTTTGAGGCTGGAAGGGATCCTGGACAATTCTTATTCCCCCTGTTCACCAACCTGCCTGGCCCACTCCATCAGCCAGTCCAAAATCCCAGGTGAGAGGGCCTGGCTGGGGCGATGTTGCAGATGAGGGGCACTGTAGTGTCCCCTAGGCCTGTGGGCATGGGGGAGGGGAACACACACGGGGCGGGGGCTGGAGTGGTGCAGCCTTCGGCTCCAAGCCCAGACCTAGAAGACAGCCTGGACTGCATTCCCCTGGGGCATAGGGGAGGGTGGAGTTTAGTTCAGGGTGCAAACATTGATGAAGCCCCAATCACAGGTCAGGATGGCGGTGGGCACAGAGAAGGATGTCCTGCCTATAGGGGCCGGGAGCCAGGGGTGGGTAGCAGGCATGAAGCTGGAGTGAGGGGAAGCCAGCTATATGACATGATGGGAACAAAAGGTGAGGCTCCCAGGACTGAATTCAGAGGCCATCAGGAGCAGTGGCTCTGGGCCAGGCTCTGGGCTGAGGCCACCAGTGGAGGAGACAATGAGGACACATCGGGGCCTCCAGGAGTTTCTGCTCTAGGAGGGGGCTGGGGGAGAGCAGGAAGGGAGGGAGCCTGAGTTAGATGAGCACCACCAAGATTAGCGGGGAAACTGAGTGCCTGAGAATCAGTAGAGAACCTTCTCCAGGGGACTAAGGGCAGGGAGACCGTTCTGGCTGGGGGACTGGGAGGCTTCCTGGGGGAGGGACACTGAAAGACAGGGGAAACGTTTTTGCCTGGAGGAGAGGGCGAGGGTGGGAGCTGAGGGTGGAGAGGGGGTGACGGTGTGGGGAGGGGTGTGGGGGGTTGGGGGTCGTAGGGGGATGTGGAGGTGGGGAGGCTGAGCAAGTGCTGGGGCAGGAAAGCCCAGTATGTGGGGGTGCGGGCAGGGGCAGGAGGTGGGGCTGGCATGTGAGCAGTGGACCTCCTGTAGTAGGAGGGGCCTGGGTGGGTGGGGCTAGGCTGCTGAGCCCCAGACCCCCCAGGACAGGGTGTTTATACTTAGTTAGGGCAAGGGTCTCCTGCGACGGGAAGGCCTGTGTTTACCCTGCTCTCTGAGCACACTGCTCAGGGGAATGTATGCAAGGTGGATGGTACTGGAGGGAAGTACCGGGGGCTGCCAGAGTGTCCAAGGGGGGAGTCCAGGGGCACCGCATGTGGTGACAGTCTGGTGGGAAGTTCAGAGTCATGGCAGAAGGTAAGGAGGGGTGGCGCTATAGGACTTTGCACTTGACAGATGCAGAGGATAAGCCAGAGGAGGACCCAGGGACAAATGCCAGGTCCCCAGACTAGACAGCCTTGGAGCTGGGGTGCTGCGACGTGACTAAGGATATCACTGAGAGCTGGTTCCTTTCGGGGAAAGGGAACAATGGACTTTTGGAAATGTAGGTCTTGGGTTGAGTCTAGGCATGGAGATTTGAAAGTCACGGAATCAACACTTCACCATCAAATTGCTACCACTTATTGAGCTTTGACCTACTGTGTGCCAGGTACCACGTGAAATAAGAATTCTCACCACAGAAGGAAATCACAGAGTCAGCAGGATTAACTTCATTTAACAGACAAGAAAACAGATTCAGAGATGTTAAGAAACATGTCCAAGGGCAGCCAGCAGGGAAGAGGTGGATCTGGGGCTGGGTGTTTCCCCATGGGCTTGCTCCTTCACCTATCGCAGTGCAGTGAAGTTATGATGGAAGAAGACGAGGTTCTCAGACAAGAGGTGAGAGGATATTAGCCCCAGAGACATCTATATAGAGTTGCCATGAAGGCTCTGCCCAAGACAGTTCCCTCTTCATTAGCTGTTAATTATCAGCTACCGGGGCTGCTCTGAAGACTTCCCACATGGAAGTCAGGACGATGTCCAGCATAGGAAAATCATGAAGATGTGTCTGCAGAATGGAAGAGGGCAATGCATATGACTCATCGCTAGCATGGTTAGGGACCCTGTGGTCAGAATACAGGATCCGGGAGCTGTAGGGAGACAGGAAAACCAAGATAGACTGGATCATGAAGGCTGAGGACAGAGTTTCAAAGGATAAAGTATCAAAGCTGCAGAAAAATTGGGGAGCGGGGGAGTTGAGGATGGGATTTATTGACTAAAGTTCACTTTGAGGTGATCCTTTGGAGAGTCAGAAGGCTGGTGGGAGCAAGAGGCAGCTGCAAGGAGTCGGGGCACACGGGGCTGGCCAGTGGTTTGGCATTCGCTCGCAGATTGAGGCGCAGGAGGCAGAGGAGTCTGCCTGTAGGTTTAGTGGAAAATAGAGAGTGGGCTAGTGCCCCAGAATGGGGGAGTCAAGCAGTCTGGGAGACTTAGGAGGGTATGTAGGCTGGTGGAAAGGGCCCAATGCTGGGCTGGAGGCTGGAAATGCAAGTAGAAGGGACTAGTGGATGAAGAAAGCTTACAAAGGAGGCAAGAGATGGTGAGATCGTCAGCCTGAGAGAGGAACGTTATGGTGAGGTTAGGAAGCATGTCGAAGGGTTCCGTGTACTGGGGGATGGAATTTGGCCTTTCTGTCTGTACCCCACCTCTCCATGATCCTGGGGGATGTTGGAGGGCTAGTGGTCTTGCCCTTGAGTTGTCGACCCCAGCCACCAGTCCCGATTCTTAGTTCAGGAATGTCACTCTGTAAGTGGAGTGTGCGGCGCATGACTGGCAACAGGACACAATTTCAGAGCCCAGGAATACTTTCTCACTTCCTAAGCTTCCCTAAGGACTGATGGAACCCACCACAGTGCCACCATTTTGCCCATTCCCTTTGTCCAGTCTTTGTCTGTTGTTTAAATGCAAAAAACTGCCCAGGAAGAACCACTGCTAACCCCTCTTGGTCATTCACACCTCAAAGAGAATGTTTTACTAGTCCTTTCCCCGGAGAGATTCTTGATAAGGGAGAAGAAGTGAGTGCTTAGCCACCCAAGAAGAGAAAAGACCACAGAGTGGGAAGAGAGCTGGGGGGAGAGGAGGAAAGGCCTTGAGGACAGACTGGCCAGTGCCTGAAGTTTTCCTGGGTCCAGATCTGCCCAGATGAAGTAGCACCCACTATCCCACCTCATCATCAGCCCCACCAAGCCCTGCCCTGATAGGAACAGCTCCCATTATTGGGAACAGAGGTGCCTTGAATTGAAGAACATGATAGCTGGAGGATCTCACACTGTTGAAATATCCATCCATCACCCATCTGTCTTTTTACTAAATTCACATTTACTGAGCTTTGTCATGTGCCAGCCCTTGGGCTCGGTCCTGGGAACACAGAGATGATCAAACCCCAACCCCAACTCTTATGCGGCTCCCAGAAACAGGAAACTACCCCAGTTCGTGACGTGAATACCGAGAAAGAAAGCAGGTGAACAGGAGTAGCGGCAATGCTTTTCAACCTTTCTATTTAATCTTCAGTTCTATTATTTAAAATATACACAAAAGTAGAAAGACCAGTATAATAAACTTCCATTTAACCATCACCCAGCTCCAATTAATATTATTTCATCTAACCCTTCTACTTTTTTGATGAAATAGTTTAATACAAATTCAAGATACCATGCATTTCAGAAATAAATACTTCCATATGTGAATATATGGAAATAATTACCTACTACCATTGGCAACTGCCCCACCCTTGCTGTGGGTATCCCCAACCCCAGAATCCAATCCTACACCCCACACCTTTAGGAGTCTTGGCAGCAACCTGGCATTTGAGGCCATCGCACAGAGTTTTCAGACTTGGGCCCTTCAGTGCTGGCCTAGCTGTGCCTTCCCAGGCCCCCGCAAAGGGTCAGCCAGGTCACCCCCTGCCCTGGCCTCCGGAAGCGTTGTCACGTCCCTTCCCTAACCGCGCTCCCACGCCTCTGTCCTCACTGCAGATTGAAATGCTAGAACACAAGTACGGAGGCCACCTGGTGTCCCGGCGCGCCGCTTGCACCATCCAAACCGCCTTCCGCCAGTACCAGCTCAGTAAGAACTTCGAGAAGATCCGCAACTCGCTCCTGGAGAGCCGCCTGCCGCGGCGCATCTCCCTGCGCAAGGCGCGCGCGCCCACGGCGGAGAGCCTGGCGGCCGAGAGGGCGCTCCTGGAGGGCTGCGGCCTTGCGGGGCTGCCTCTGGTGCGCTCGCCCTCCCTGCCGCCCACCTTTGCGGGCACGCTCACCGAGCTGGAGGACTCCTTCACTGAGCAGGTGCAATCCCTGGCCAAGTCCATCGACGACGCCCTCAGCACCTGGAGCCTCAAGACCATGTGCTCCCTGCAGGAGAGCGGCGCTTACCAGATCCACCGGGCCCTGCGCGCGGGTGCGGGACCGCTGGGCCTGGAGAGCGAGGCGCGGGAGCCCGAGGGCGCCTCCCCGGGGGCCGGGGCTGAGCCCGCTGAGCCCCCCAGTCCGCCCCAGGGCCATGGCAGCACCCTCATGATGGCCTTCCGGGACGTCACAGTGCAGATCGCCAGCCAGAACATCTCTGTCTCCTCCTCCACGGCCCTGTCGGTGGCCAACTGCCTGGGCGCGCAGACGGCCCCGGCCCCCACAGACTCTGCGGTGGTTAAGGCCGAGGAGGGCGAGGCCAGGGCACAGGAGGCCCCGGAGGGCCCCGAGGCCCCCCGTGCCGGCCAGGGGCCCGCACCCGCTGAGGACCCGAGCGCAGAGGTGGAGGCCGGTGGGGCCCTGCGCGCCGGCTCGCCTGTGGCCGCGGGGCCAGTAGTGGAGGAGGAAGAAGAGGAGGAGACCGAGGAGGCGGCGAAAAGGACCGAGGCCGAACTGGAGGCCGGGGACAACTCGGAGCAGCTGAGCAGCAGCAGCACGTCCACCAAATCAGCCAAGTCGGGTTCCGAAGCGTCAGCCTCGGCCTCCAAGGAGGCCCTGCAGGCCATGATCCTGAGTTTGCCACGCTACCACTGCGAGAACCCGGCGAGCTGCAAGTCACCCACGCTGTCCACCGACACCCTGCGCAAGCGGCTGTACCGCATCGGCCTCAACCTCTTCAACATGTAAGTCGGGGTGGAGGATGGGGGGAAAGGGGGCACCTGCACTTACCATGAGCGAGGTTCCTAGGAATGGTCCGCATGGACCCAGAGGCCTCCCCTGGGGGACTGGGGGTCTGGGGGCCACACCTGCTCCTTGAGATACTGGGTGGGGGGGGCACACATTTTATTTTTAATTGATATGAATTTACTTCAAGGACGAGGGCTAAAACACCTCAAACCTACACTTTGACCACTAGTACTGCTGGGAAGAAGCAAGGCTTTGAAAAGTGAGAGAATTTACAAGAATATGCAGTATTAAGTAAATAATATAAGGATGGAACAGAAATCACTCAGGTGGGACATGAAGTTGGGGAAATGGGGAACATCAGCCCCATGGGGTTGATGATGGGAGAAGAGAGACAGTGATGAAAGGAGGAAACGTCAGGGGAGCAGAGACCTAGTGCAAGGAACAGGAGAGGGGTCTGGGGTGGGCAGGAGGGGAGTGTGATGCAAGTGGAAGTGGAACAGAAGAGAGCAGGGGTGTGGACATACAGATATGAATGACCGCTATAGCTCAGAGCCCCCAGCCAGACTTTCCTTGCTACCAAGAGGTATACAGCTGGTGGCAAGCAGAGGAAACACACACACCCGTCCTAGGGACATTTCAAGTACACCTGCTCATCTCCACCCTCCACCCCTTCCTTCATAGACCTGAACTGGAAAACACAGCATCTCTCCCACTAATCAGTGAGGACTAGGCAGAAACCATTCACCTGTGTGTTTGTTTACTCATTCCGCAATGATTTTTGGAGTGCTTAGTCCGGAAACCACATAGATGAGCAACACACATCCTCTGGCCTCAAGCTTATATTCAATAGCCTGCCTGAGATAAAACATTGCAAACTTCATATTTTTAGAGAGAGCATTATTATGCCATTTTATAGAATAGGAATCAGGCTCACACAGTGAGGTGAGCTGAGCGCTGTGAAGCAGCTAGTCAGCAGCATAGCTGGGTGAAGTCATATTTGCCTGACCCCCAGCCCGGTGCTCTTTCTTCTATATCCGGCAGCCACTGGGATGAGTGTAACCTCAGCCCTGCCTCCCCAGGCCCACACAGATGCCTGGCCCCACAAGGCAGTGCTTCTCAAATGATGTGTACTGAAGGATCAGCTTGGGTTTTTACTCAGTATGTCGTGGGCTGATACTTTTGTAAAATTCAATAAACGTGAGTTGCTAGAAAAACAGTCACATGCTTGGTTGTCCTGAAAATGTCAGCCTGCTATAAACGGGTCTAAAGGCTTACCCTCTGTTTCTATCCTTATCTTCTCCTGGACCAGTAAGACTCAGCTCAGGGAGCAGCAGGGATTTGCAGACCAGGCTGGGAGCACATTTACCTTAAATCACAGCACCCACACCCACACCCACATCCACACCCACGCACAGAGACTCCAGCCTGGGAAAGTAATCCCTGGGGAGCAGGGTCTTCCTTGTGTCTACAATGCGCAGGGAAGAGGGATGTGGTAGGAGATCCCACCTCCATTTCCCAATTCACCCTCTTCCCGGTTCCAACATGGATCCTGAGTAGAGAGAGCAGGATACAGGTGGGAGGAGGGCTTGGGGGCCTGAAGATCAGATCCAGTGGGACTGATGCTTGAAGACAGAAAGGACGTCCCTCCACCTGCTCTGGAGCCCGCTTTGGCCAGCCCTCCCCAGCCCCGCACCACCCTCACTCCTGGGCAGGGAGGTTCAGAAGCATGTGCGGAGAGAGCCTTCGGAAAGGGAGGCCCTCTGCAGCAGAAGGAATAGTGGCATTTCTTGGGAATTCTACCCAGGGACCTCCAGGCGCTTCTATGGTTCTCTGGGCTGGAAGAAAAGGAGGAAAGGCATCACAGACCATCTTGCCTCACTCTCTACTTCTTTTCCCCACCCCACCCCAGAAACCCGGACAAGGGCATCCAGTTCTTGATCTCTCGAGGCTTCATCCCCGACACCCCCATTGGAGTGGCCCATTTCCTGCTCCAGCGTAAGGGCCTGAGCCGCCAGATGATCGGCGAGTTCCTGGGCAACAGCAAGAAGCAGTTCAACCGCGATGTGCTTGAGTGAGTGGCTGCCTCTGGGTTCTGCCCCACCTTCCTAGCCCACCCTACACTCTAGGATCTCCTGGGTGGCCTGGGACCTCAGCTAGGGAAGGACACGGGGCAAGACAGGACTTCTGAAGTCTGGGTAGATTCCCAGAAGTCCTGGCTCCAGTCCTAGGGGCTTCCTGTTTGGTCAAAGGAGCCAGCATCCCCATGATCCTTAGCCAATCACCTGCTTCCTCTCCTGTTATCCTGCAGCTTACTAAGCCAGGGTGCTCCTCCCACAGGCACTGGGGATGAGGATGAGGCTGGGGGTGGGGCTAGCACAGAAATGGTCCAGGGAGACCAAAAGGCAAGAGAGTGAAACTGGAAGAGGGCTGTGTCAGTGCTGGGGCCATCACCACCTGGGGGACTGACCCCTCAGCATCACCTGCGGCCTGTCCAGTCCCCCAGCCTCTGGGCATCCGCTTCATATCGTGGAGGAACCATGAGGCAGGAAAGGAAGGGGTTAGGGTTTTTAGAGCCAGAAAGTATGTTCGTTGTGTAGTCGCTAAGTCATGTCCAACTCTTTTGAGATCCCATGGACTGTAGCCCGCCAGCCTCCTCTGTTCATGGGATTTTCCAGGCAAGAATACTGGAGTGGGTTGCCATTCTCTTCTCCAGGGGATCGTCTCAACCCAGGGATTGAACCCACGTCTTCTGCTTGGCAGGCAGATTCTTTACCACCAAGCCACCAGAAACTATGATTGCGTAAAGATAGATTGACCACCAAGATCACACAATCAAAAAATTGTTTTAAAGTCCAATAGATGAGGTATTTGGTGGGGGGAGTGAGGGGGCTGCCTTGGTTCAACTTCATGGGTGTGATGCTGTGGGTAGGTAGGTGAGCCGCACGGCAGGGGCAGATTCCCTGGGGCGCAGGAGCAGGACCTTGGAGCCACCTCGCCTCTCCAAAGAGGGGGTGAGGCCCTGTGAAGTCTGCCCCGGACCCCCGCCTCCCCTTCTGACTCCATGCTCCTCCTCTCTTCTGCTGGCTCCCTGAACTCACTTCCTCTCCAAAGTCACCGCTCTGTAGGGAGCCCTCCCCACTTCTCTCCCACCCCCTTGTCCTTGAGCACACTCAGCAGAAGTGTTTCCTCAGGGGTCCTGGCAGAACCCCCTCCTCCTGTACTTGCTCTCGGAGCAGCAAAGGCCCACCACAGAGGGCCAGGGATCCTGCTCCAGGCTTAGAAGCAAGAGGGTCACTGTCAGTATCCCTGCGGTGGGAGCTAGAGACCTGGCTTCTTCTTTTTTTAAAAAACACGTTGATTTATTTGGCTGTGCTGGGTCTTAGTCGTGGCATGCAAGATCTTCATAGTTTTGGCATGTGAACTCTTGGGCTTCCCTGGTGGCTCAGCTGGTAAAGAATCTGCCTGCAATGTGGGAGACCTGGGTTCATTCCCTGGCTTGGGAAGATCCCCTGGAGAAGGGAAAGGCTACCCACTCCAGTATTCTGGCCTGGAGAATTCCATGGACTGTATGTATAGTCCATGGGGTTGCAAAGAGTCGGACACGACTGAGCAACTTTCACTTCACTTCATTTCATGTGAACTCTTAGTTGCAGCATATGAAATCTAGTTCCCTGACTAGGGATCGAACCTTGGCTCTCTGCACTGGGGGCTCCGAGTCTTAGCCACTGGAGCCCCAGGGAAGTCCCAACCTGGCTTCTGTTTGTGGAGCAGCCTTAGTGCTGTGTCTTGGGACAGGCCATGGCCGGAGGGCCATGCTTCCATACCTAGAGGGTGGAGGGGTTGGGCTATGAGGGGAGGTCAGCTGTTCTTAGGAGTCCCTGTTACCTAAATCCATGATGGGGTAGTTGTCACCTGAATGCAGTCAGAAGAGAGGGAGGTGGGACCCATACGAGGGACCTTGAGATCCCTGATGGCCTTCTCCTGTCTCTGACTTGGTGGCTTTGGACAGTTGGCTGTCCCTCCTGGTGCCCAGACCCACAAATGCACATGCTTCCCTTCCCCCTCCGGGGACGCTTTGAGGAACTGCGCAAGAGGAGAAAGCCAATTTCCTGTCTCTTTCCTCTCCTACTTTTCTTCTGGTTCATCTCTCCAGCCTTTTCATTTACCTTTGTCCCCTTTCCACCAATGAGCGAGTGGAGCTGCTGCATCTGGTGACTTCTTTCTTTCCAGCTGCCCCACGACCCGGGGGTGACCTGGCTTTGTCCCTCTCCTCTGGGGCAGCGGTGGCAGCTTCACTTCCAGGCCCTGACTGCCTTGTCTGTTCTCTCCCACCTTTCCAGGTCTCGTGTGGTCTGGCCCTGGAATTCTAACCTGCTTCCCATCCCCCTATTCCCCGCTCCCAGCTCCCCCCCACCCCCGGCCTGCACTTCAGGGAACACATGGTTTTTCTCCAGCCCAGGTTGTGCCGAGCAGCACATTGAAAACTTAATTGCCTATCCTCCCCGGGAGACTGAGTGTGTGGGCTGGAGACTCAGACCGGCTGCTGTGAGGGAGGGCACAGGGCTGGGGGCTGGGCTGGCGGCTGGACGGGCTCAGGCTTGAATGAGGGGGCAGTGGGGAGAGGGGAGAGTGGCTGGGACCCGAGAGGCCAGCTCTGACTCCTGCTCTGCTCCTAACAGGCTCTGGAGCTTTTGCATGTCACTTCTGCTCCAGGCCTCAGCTTCCTCACCTGCAGAGAAGCTGAGCTGGGCTGTGTGAGCTTGGTCCCTCCAGCACCAGGGGTGAATCTGTCTTTTTCCGCAATCCTTAGTGCGTTTGTAACATCTTGGCATCATGCAAAATCTTCTGCCCTAAAGCGTGCTTTGTCACCATGCCAGAGCCACCCAGAGCGGCACTCAGGAGAACAGGATGGCCATTCACCACTCATTCACCAAATATTGAGCGCCTACTGTATGCAGGGAACCAGGGCTGAGCTGGGTATCCCATGTGTATACATGTGTGTGTGTATATAGAAAGGGGAAGGAACAGGCATGGCTTCAGGAAAGACACAGACATAGGCGTCAATGGGGAGAGATGAGAGGAGGAACATGGAAAGAGAGGCGAGGGGCCCAGGAGCCTCCAGCGGACACTGTGGGCTTGGGGAGGGTGGAGGGCAGAGCCGAGCCCGGATTCTGCCCCAGTGAATGCCCCCCACCCCGCGTGCTTTGCTCTGCAACCACACAGGCCCTGGGCTCCAAGGCCCTGGCACACCCAGCCTGCACGTGGCAGCTCCTCCCCCAAGTCTGCATCACCCGGATGCCTGGTTTGTCCCCTGCAAGGTGCCCGGAGAGGACGGAGAGGCAGGAAGAGGCAGGCACTGGTGGGCTGCCAGGCCCTGGGAGTTCTGGCATCTCCCTGCAGCTCAGGCCAGCATCCCCTGCCCCTTCCTTCCCCCCATCAGAGGAAACATACCAGTGAGGAGATTCCGCAGCGCACCCCGCCCCCACCAGTGACATTCAGCCCGTCGCATCCATCCGTACAAAGCTGTTTGCTGAATAAAAGACATAAATCACCCCTCCCCTTGGAGACTGAGACAGCCCAAACCGCCACACTCTCCAAGATACAGCCAGACAGGAAGGGGAGAGGTGGGGAAAGGTCTCTCGGAGGGAGAGGGCCTGGGAGGAGGGCGGACAGGGTGAGCGGAGGGGCCCCGCACCAGACGGAATCTGCCCCTGATGCTGATCTGCGTTTGAGCATCACAGAGGTGGTGATATTTGCCTCCAGAATCAGGCCCTTGGTGCTGTTAAAAGCTGACTTCTCTTTTCATCCCTTTCTATGCTAGTCCATGAAAGCCCCATTCCAAGAAGGAATGTGTCCAACCAGGCTTTACTGAATAATAATAGAAGGCATTCTGAGCTCAAAGGGCCATGTCCGTTCCCGTGTTTACCTGGGAAGGTTTTGAGTTTTGGCTCTCCCATTTTTTTTTTCCTTAGGAGAAACCAGCCTCAAGTTTGTCATTTGTCAAATGGGGATAATAGAACCAGTCATATGAATTAAATTTTAAAATGGATATGAAGTGCTTAACTCGGTGCCTGATGCTTAGTAAATTCTTTTAAAATGTCAGCTATTTCTGTTAGTGTATTTTCTATTTTAAAGCCACAGGGCATAAAAAGAAGCCCAGGGCATTGGACCCCCTCACCCCCCACTCCCCCACGGCCCCTCCCCTAACACAGGGAAACCTCAGACTCCTCAGGGCAGGTCTCAGTCCACTGCTGGGGAAGGGAGCGGCCGCCTGAGCCTGGAGGAAGCCCCCCTCTGGTGCTGAGAAGGAAGGTCAGTGGGAGCCAGAGGGCCGGAGGGCCGTGGGGGTCGGAATTCTTGGGGGGGCTGAAAGGGCTTCCCTCTCCGTTTTCACATGGCTGGGAAATTTGGCTCTGCTCTATTTCCTTCTTGAAGTGTTCGCTTCAGCAGATTTGAAGGCCAGTGGATGGGGGGCTGTTGCGAGCGGGTTCTCAGCAGCCTCCCTCCTGGCCCGCGTGATTGCCGCGCACGTGGACAGCATCTGTCCTTCCCACAGAGATGCAGGGAGGGCGGTTTGGGGGTTGAGCAGTCCTGGGGGGCAGGGTGGGAGAGAAGGTTTCCCTGGGGGATTCCTTCTTGCACTGCGTCTGCTCCATCCTCTGTTAGATACTGAAGTAGGACGTTTCAGTCAAATTTCATTATTTCATTTCCCTGGAAATGTGTCGGCCAGCGTGTAACAGATTTGTTCTTCTTCGGGGACACTCAGAAATGAAGACAGATTGTCTGTCAAACTCAACAGGCTGGAATGCGCTGGCCTCTGTTCGCTGGGAAGCGTCGACTCCAGAAGGTCCTGGACGTTGTCTACGTACAGCTTCTGATGGGTTGTCTTGCTCCCAAGGAGATCCACGGGCGAGGGGAGAGCAGGCCAGCACCCATGCCCACCCTGGTGGGTCTGGAGGGGGATGGAGAGAGGCCAGGGACAGACATGGATAGGAGGCTTTGCACGACTCTGAAAACTTGATGCTGCCCCCACTCAGAGGGATGGAAGGAGAAGGTCTCTTCTAACAGGGG